CATGCACGCTCGCGTGTGCTCTACAGACACACGTGTGCACACATACATGCACGCTCGCGTGTGCTCTACAGACACACGTGTGTACACACATGCATGCACGCTCGCGTGTGCTCTACAGACACACGAGTGCACACACATACATGCACGCTCGCTTGTGCTCTACAGACACACGAGTGCACACATACATGCACGCTCGCGTGTGCTCTACAGACACACGTGTGTACACACATGCATGCACGCTCGCTTGTGCTCTACAGACACACGAGTGCACACACATGCATGCACGCTCGCGTGTGCACTACAGACACACGTGTGCACACACACAGGCATGCACGTACACACACAGGCCTCACACGGGACGACCTGCATGGGACCAGACCAGAGCCAGTCTTGGGAACCCTCACCGTGGACACCAGCCCGATCCACACCCCTCCAGCACCCACAGCTTCTCAGCAGCTCATCCACACACTGGCCACACTGACCTGCCCCCCAGCCCCAGGGCACTGCACCCCCTCCCAACATCCACAAAACCCACACCCAGCTTGTCCTGATGCTCCCACCCACTCCTTCTCTCGGACACTCCCCGACACTGACCAGCCCTTCCCTAGGCTCTCCAGCTCCCCCCACCTTCTGGACCTGGCCCCCAGGGGAAGAGGACATGTGCCAGTCAGGGCGCCTTCCCCCAGGAGGGTCCCAGCACAGGGCAGAGCAGAGAGGGAGGGGGTCCCCCACTGACCAGACCCAAGCTGGAGAGCCGGGGGTGCCGAGGCTGGCGCCTGAGGTTGCAGAGGGCTGTGACTGTCCCCCAGGGAATCACCCCTGGGGCAGGCACAGCACTGACCACCCCCTTCCTGTCCAGAGCTGCTCCTGGACGACAGCTGTGCCGAGGACCAGGATGGGGAGCTGGACGGGCTGTGGACCACCATCTCAATCTTCATCACCCTCTTCCTGCTCAGCGTGTGCTACAGCGCCACTGTGACCCTCTTTAAGGTGGGCGTCCCCACACGTCCCTTCACTGCAGCCTGCTGTCCCCGTGCTGTCCCCACACTATCCACGTGCTATCCCCATCTGTCCACATGCTGTCCACACGCTGTCCATATGCTGTCCCCATGCCATCCTCACACTGTCCACATGCTGTCTCCACACTGTCCCCATGTTGTCACCATGCTGTCCTCGACAGTCCCCTCACTTCGGCCCACTCTCCCTACACTGTCCCCATGCTATTCCCATGCTGACCCCATGCTGGCCACACACTGACCCAGAATTGTCCCCATGTGGTCCCCACACTATCCACGTGCTGTCCACACGCTGTCCATATGCTGTCCACGTGCTGTCCCCGCACTATCCCCACATTGACCCCACATTGACCCCACACCGAACCAAAACTGTCCCCACATTGACCACACACTGTCTCCACACTATCCCCACGCTATCCCCACACTGACCCAAAATTGTCCCCACGTTGACCTCATCCTGTCCCCATGCTGTCCCCACATTGACCCCAAACTGACTTGACACTGTCCTCTCTGTGTCCATGTGCTGTCCCTTCATTACTTCCTCAATGTCCACACTGTTCCCACACCATCCCCATGCTGTCCCCACACGGTCCCTTCTGTGTCCACATGCAGTCCACATGCTGTCCCCACACTGGCTCTTCTGTGTCCACATGCAATCCACATGCTGTCCCCACACTGTCCCCTCTGTCCCCACACTGTCCCCACTCTGCCCCATCTGTGTCCCCACACTGTCCCTTCACTGACTCCTCATGCCCACTTGCTGTCCACTCGCTGTCCCTGCACTATCCTCTCACTTACCCCATGATGTCCATTCTGTCTCCACAGAATCCCCATGCTGTCTACATGCCATCATCTCACTGTCCCCATGATACCGCATACTGTCCCCACACTGTCCCTTCACTGACTACTCACTGCCCCCTTGCTGTCCCCATGCAGTCCCCATGCTGCTCTTGACCACCCCCTCACTGTTGTCTGCTGTCCCCACACTATCCCCACGCTATCCCCACACTCTCTCCATGCTGTCACATGTTGTCCCCATGCTGTCCTTACGTTCCCATGCTGTCCCCACACCATCATCTCACTACAGCCCACTGTCCCTATGCTGTTCCCATGCTGTCCCCACACTGACACCACACTGTCCCTATGCTATCCCCAGGCCATCTCCAGGCAGTCCACACACTATCCCCATGCTTACCCTATGCTGTCCCCACGCTGACACTAAACTGTCCCCACACTGTCCCAACATTAACTCATGTTGACCTACACTGCCCCCCACACTGTCCCTATAATATGGCCCATTGTCCTCATGCTGTCCCCACACTGTCCTCGTACTGTCCCCACATGATGGTCCGCTGTCCCCTCACTGTCCCCATGATTACCCCATGCTGCCCCATCACTGTCCCAAGTCCCCAGCTGTCCCCATGATGTCCACACATTATCCCCACACTGTCCCATTGCTGTCCCACACTGTCTCCATGATGATCTCGCACTGTCCCCACACTGTCCCCTTACTATCCCTACACTGTTCCCTCACTGCTCTCCTGCTGCTCCCTCTCTGTCTGCATGCTGTCCACACATTATCGCCACACTGTCCCATTGCTGTCCCCACACTGTCCACACAATGAACCCTCATTGTATCCACACTGTCCCCACACTGACCCCGGATGACCTCTTACCGTCCCCTCACAGTGGGCCAGTGTCCCCACACTGTCACCTCACTGCCCCCTCTGCCCCTTCGCTGTCTTCACGCTACCCACACATTGTGCCATCACTGTCCCCACGCTGGCCCCATAATAACCCTTGATTGTCCCCACACTGACCCCACACTAACCCACACTGTCTCTACACTGTCCCCATTATGACCCCACACTGTACTCTCACTGTCCCCTCACTGTCCCCACACTGTCCCCACACTCTTCCCTCACTGCTCTCTCACTGCCCTTTGCTGTGCCCATGCTGTCCACACATTGTCACCATACTGTCCCATCACTGTCCCCAAAATGTCCACAAAATGACCCCTCATTGTCCCCACATTATCCCCACACTGACCCCCATGATGACCTCTCACTGGCCAAACATGATGGGCCACTGTCCCCACACTATTCCCACACTCGCCCCTCTCTGCCCCCTCACTGTCCCCATGCTACCCACACATTGTGCCCACACTGTCCCATCGCTGTCCCCACACTGTCCACAAAATGACCCCTCATTGTCCCCACATTATCCCCACACTGACCCCATTATGACCCCTCACTGGCCCCACATGATGGGCCGTTGTCCCAACACTGTCGAGTGGCTGTCCCCACGCTGACCCCTTGCTGTCCCATCGATGCCCCCTCCCTGCCCACTCACTGTCCCCACACTGTCCCCTAACTGCCCCATCATCATCTCCTCGCTGTCCCCTCACCGCCCCCTCTCTGTCCCCACACTGTTCCCTCACTGTCCCAACACCATCCCATTGCTGCCTCCTTGCTATCCCCACACTATCACCCACTGTCCCCACACTGTGCCCTCGCTATTGCCAC